CCAATAAGGTAACCAGTAACCATGTGTGGCTATTTAAATTGAATTTAAATACATTAAAATTAAAAATCAGTTCCTCCGTTGCCCAGTTGCACTTATTGAGTATTAAGTACTCAATACCCATATGTGGCTGGTGGCTGCCATATTGGACAGCACACATACTGAACATTTTCATCATCACAGAAAGTTGTATTAGTGCTGGTAGAATATCATTAGTAGAGACCTAAGTCGGTGGCTCCAATCTTTTTAAAGTGAAATTCCCGTGTGACCATGGTGTGTACTCATGATCCAAATGTAGCCCTTTCACGTCTCTCTCCCCAACACTGTAGGAATTCAGTCAAGGAAGGTGGGTGGCCCACAGAGGGGGCTGGCTATCTCTTTGAAACTGAAAGCCAAACAACAGTGGGGCTGTTAGCAAGACTGACATTATGGTGATACAGACTTACTTGACTATACCAGTTAGTATGTGAAATATCTGTACCAATTAATAAAGAGCTGATGTTTCAGGCTCCTCCAGTACCTACTTCCTGTGGCCCAGAGGCCCTGGCCATTCAGCTAGTGTCCTCCACCCTCCCCTTAATCCAGCAAAATGAGTCAGCTAATGCCAGTCCCATCCTGGGGGCTGGGAGACTGCTCAGGGAACCCCTACCCCAGCACTGGAGGCCTCAGATTGATGGGTGCTGCACTTAGCCTCCAGGAGGGACTGCTCCCAAAGACTTTTTCTAAGGGAGGCCTTATCACCACCATGGCTGAGTCCCAAATCACAGAACCATTGGCTTCAAGAAGACCTTAAAATCATCTCATCCTACCCATTCATTTTACTGAAGGAACAAGTCACAGAGAGTCACCCGGCCAGTTTGTGGCCAATTTAGAGATAAAACTTGAATCTCCTAACTTGGTACTTTTTTTTTTTTTTTTTTTGCTACATCTTCCTGTTGTCAGTTTCCTTAGCTATGAAATGAGGATTAATAGCTTTATGCCTCAGAGAGTTGCTAGTAAAAAGAATAATGATACCCCACATTTTACATCTGTCTTATAGTTTGCAAAAACCCTTTTGTATACATTCTCATTTCATCCTCCCAAGAACCTGTGAGAGGTGTTAGGCTCGGAGGCAGCGAATGACCTCCCCAAGATAACAAAGCTGCTGTGATAACAGAGGTCTCAGTCTCTTAGGGTTTGGGAAACTATAAATTCTTTTGTAAATGTAAGATAACATAACCACATGGTATTACTAGTTTTTAGCTTGTGGTATTTTGCAGTTCAAGATTTAGTGACATTGAAAGTGGTAACTTTGTTCAAACGACGCATTTTTTTTTTTACTTTGATAATGTGCCAGTTGCACAGACTTTGGTTCAGCATTAAAACAGAAGTGGGCTGCTTCGAAGTGTATTTTTAAAATGAGAGAATCCAAATTTGTAATTAGCTTTAGAAATGTTAGTTGTGCAGTTTGAGTATATAAAGAGCTTCTTGTAATCATTTCTGTTATTAGTAGGTGGCTTATTTTATTTTTTGTATTTTCCCCTAAGCAATTAGGCATTTTTGAAAAACAAAGTATGTTCTTTGAGGGGTCATTTCCTCTATTACTGCTTTTATTTTTCACATCCTATAGTCCTAGTATACTTAGAAAATTAGCTACATATATGATTGTGGCAAAGAAAAATCATGTAGGAGCCATTCTACTCACTTGACACCTACCTGTCAGGAGAATGTTATTTAAATTATAAAGAGATGCCACAGTGAAGGAAATGATTCACTTCTTGATACATCTTTTGTCTTTTGGTCTTTTGATCATTTTGATAGAAACATCCCTTACTAAGATAAGATTATTGGGAAGATCAACTTGACACACTCCCAAAATAAAATGGGATTTCTTGTGTGTGTTTCTTTGTTTCTCTCTCTGAACCTCAGCCATATTATAGAATATACTACATTCTACTATGGAGAAATTGAGTTATAGATAAGGAAAAGAGTGATGTTATTTTCATTCTATATAATAAAGAAGTGTCTCTTCAGTTTTCTCTTACTAGCATATAAAAATGATGGCATTCTCTACACCAATTATCCTATAAGTTTAAATAAATATAAAGGGAAAAGAGAAAGAAAAATTATTAGACAAAGCTATAAATGGAAAGAAACTTGAGGTTGTAAGTCCTGACGTTATCGTTACCAATTTATAGTCACATCTGGGAAGAATGTGTTTGTGTGTTTGTTTTTTGAAATATATATTATGTGTGTATCTTCGTGTCTTCTCTGCATGTACCCTGTTTTGTGTTACAGAGCAGACTCCTATCATACTCTAAGAGATATGGCCTCCCTCCTGTACATATAGGACCTTCAAAGTGTTTATTATTATCTAGAGTTTTCTTGGATTTTATTTATGTCATTTCCGCCCCCTGCGTTGTGTAGATGCTGTAGGGGGTGCTGATCAAAAAAACATAAAGGTTAAGTTTGTGGTTTATAACCAGACTTGGAGTCATGGTAATAAGACCCTAGGCTTGAATAGGTCTTTGAAACTCCAAACTTCTAATTCCTCCATACTTACTAGGGTAGAAGGGTGACTGATGAGTGAGCACATACTTACAAACTTTGCAGCTGCCAGTTTTTAAACCAGTGCACTCCACAGTAAATGAGAGAACGCACACAACAAACCCAGGACCAGAGTTGACACATCGTAAGCACTCATAAGGGTTAGCACTCATTATTATGAGCTTGTCTGATTTGATTTTGTCTTCACATCTCTTTCTTCTCCCTAATGGCCATGCTGAGTAGCAGCAAAATGTCCAAGAAATACAAAAACACCAAAAGGAAGAGAAACACAAGTCCTCAGTAGCCTAGAAACAGAATTTATCAGCCCACAAATAAATAGCATCTGATCATTTGTCTTCCCATGATGATGTGTGAATTATTTCCATACCCACCCCCATACCTTTTTCCAAGTTAAGACCCCATGGACGAGTGACAACTGCTCCATTGCTCAGATCTGATTCAGTCTGCTTTAATGAGGTTCCACTTGATGGTAAACTCATATTAATCCCATTCTCTCTTGTTATGTGACAGACAGTGAGCTGTTCACTGTCTTCTGTGTAAGAAAAACAAAAATAAAATCTCCTAAGTATGATTATCATTGATTAGAGCTTTGTTACAATGTCTGAGATACAAGTGTATTTTTTCCATGCCTATGATAATGTGGATAATTAAACAAATTAACCAGGCACTCATGCTGTTAGGAGTGTAAATTGGTATAGCTTTTCTGGGAAATCATCAAGACCCTTAAAGATCAAACCAGTTGACCCAATAATTCTTTTTCTAGGATATACCTAAGATAGTATTCAGAAATTCAGACCATGTGATATTCAAATATGTCCCTCACAGTGTTATTTGCATTAACAACAACAAAAACTATAGTTCCCAAAATGAAATCATTACATAAAACTTTTTTGGGGGATATAATATTACATAGCCATTGAAAAACATATTTTTGAAGTGTTTTTAATAACTTGGGGAAATGCTCACAGTCGTTTAACATTGAATGAAAAATAGAAACAAAATTCTTCGGGCACCTGGGTGGCTCAGTCGGTTAAGCGTCTGCCTTCGGCTCAGGTCATGATCCCAGGGTCCTGCTCTGCAGGGAGCCCCCTTCTCACTCTCCTTCAGCCTCTGCCTCTCTCCTTGCTTGTGCTCTCTCGCTCTCTCAAATAAATAAAATCTTTTTAAAAAATGAAAAAAAAAGAGAAAACTCTGAGTATTTTTGTGTATCTGAAAAGAATACTGGTCCACACTCTTTATTCCCAATTCTGAATCCAAAAGCATTCCAAAATCAAAAGGGGTTTTTCTGTAATTTCTCTGGTAGAAATACCTGGCCGGAACTAATGTGAGATTCTGTTTTATCCAATTTAATAAGAATATGCATCTGTTTTGCTGCAGAAATATTATGAAATATGGCTGCTCCAGACCCTGATGGAATATTATGTGATAAATGGTTGTTGCACCAAAATAGTTTTAAAATCCAAACAATTCTGAATTCTGAAACATTCTGAAGCTCAGGAGTTTCAGTTAAGGGGTTGTGGAACTATACAACAAAATATCATTGGTGATTTTTCAGTGCCGAGGTTATAGTTAATCTTTTTTCTTTTTTTAAATTTTATTTAAATTCCAGTTAGTTAACATGCAATGTTATCTTAGTTTCAGGTGTACAATATAGTGATTCAACAATTCCATACATCGGGCGCCTGGGTGGCTCAGTCGGTTGGGCGACTGCCTTCGGCTCAGGTCATGATCCTGGAGTCCCGGGATCAAGTCCCGCGTCGGGCTCCCTGCTCAGCGGGGAGTCTGCTTCTCCCTCTGACCCTCCCCCCCTCTCATGCTCTCTCTCTCTATCTCATTCTCTCTCTCAAATAAATAAAAAATCTTTAAAAAAAAAACAATTCCATACATCGCCGACGCTCATCGCAATAGTGCACTCCTTAACCCTCTTCACCTATTTCACCCATCTCGCCGCCAACCCCCCCTCCCCGGTTTATTCTCAACAACTAAGTCTGTTTCTTGGTACTTTTTCTTTATGCTTTTCCATATTTTCCAAATGTTCTACAATAAGCATGTATCAATTTATCATCGGAAAAAAGTACTAAAAATAAACATTTAAGGCATCAGAGAATCGTCTCATTTCAGTCAGAATTCCTGAATTTATCATTAGCTTCCTGCATCTTCCTGGTACTGCAGGTACACGTGTCTCTTAAGCCAAGGTGCTTTGGTTTTTTGAAAGAAAAACATTCACGAGGTTGGACATTGACCCATCTCCAAACTGCTTTTGGGTTCAAAAGAGACCCCCAGTTAGGGATGCTCACCTTCAGGAAATACTCACGGAATAGGGTTGAGCCCAGGCATTAATCCTATGGGCTATTTTATCATATTCTGTTTATGGTTAGCAGGATGGCAGGAGGGAGGGAGAAACCTTAAGGCGCAAGGTTTACTCTGCTAATGGACAGCTCTTCCGCCCCATTCAGGTGGACACTCACTGACCTGTCACAAGGTTACTCTGCAAAGCTTTGGGGTCCATGCCTGAATGGATTGCTGTAGCCTTCTCATCTCTCCCTTCGCCCAGTTCCCTGCATCCTAAGACTCGAAGCCAGCACAGAGCCTGGAAAAATTACATGTAAGTTTTGACCAAGGTTTCTCTTTCCTCAAACCAAACAATGGTAAGAATTTTCTTAGGTGATAATAGCAAGTAGCCTAAACCCGCATGGGTTACGTTTCTTTTAACAAAGTATCTTGAAAATTCTAATCAAGGAAGGGAGCAGGGATTAGAATCTGCATATTGGAGGCTCCTTAATTCAGTGGATCTTTAACTTGCATCAGAATCACCTGGAGTGCTTGTTAAAGGACAGCTTGCTGGGCCTCATGCCCAGAATTTCTGATTCCGCAAACCTGGGGCAGGTTGGGAAGGTGCTGTGCTAACAAGTTTCCAGGTGATACTGAGGCAGGTGGTCCGGGGACTCCACTTTGAGAATCACTGCTTTAATTCCAGTGTAACTGAAAGGATGAGCGACAAAGGGAGAAAAATGTATTAAATATTCAGTATGAAATGCCACTAAAGTAAGCTATTTAGTGCTTTACTGAATATATTGACTCATCTCTCAAGAAAAGAGAGTTTTAAGGTCCTCTCAGCACCGTCACATTTGAAAGTCCAGCCAAGTAGATGCCGTTATTCTGTGCCAACTTTAGAGTCAATAGTAGCAGTCATTCTTTGCCCTTGGATTTCAACGAGGGTGACTAACTGCCCTGTATGAGGCGAAAATGACAGCTACAGTCCTTTTACGGGCACGCTCATCATGTTTTTAGATACTCATAAGGGAAAATCCTTTTTTCTCCCAGGTTGAGAAATCTATTGCTGCTTTTCAAAGTGAATTCTAGTCTTATCTTTCCTCTCATACACTTAGATGGGACTTGATTTACAAAACACATGTGGGGAGAGAGGCGCATCTCTAATAAATAGTCCAAGTCATCAGGTTTTTGTGGGGTTTTAAGTTCTCAGGACTGACATAGTTTGAGGATCAGTGTTAGCTTTGGAATAAGCCAATCACCTCTCCGCTGAGGACAAGAACAATTTATTCCATGTTAATGGAAAAAAGTGGAAGATTTTGGCTCGACAAATATGCATTTGGATATATGTGAGCATACATGCAAATGTACATATGTGCCTATGAATATATATGCATTTTGTATATTTCTAGCTTTCATTGTAAGAATTTTAAACATTTTTCTTTTGTTTCATTGAGTTGGTGTGAGTATAAAAATAGGATGAGTGATGCTGTCCAGGAAATGTATGAGAAATTTCTGGGCATTTTAAACCTGTGGATAGCATTGTGTTATAACATTTTACTTGGTATGGTAAATGTTCATTCAGAGTAGCTCTTAGAACATACAGTTCTTTTATTAGAATTGAGAATAATCGCTGTTAATAAAGCAGTTCCAAAGCAGACATAATGAAGGAGCTTATCTATTGCCTACCCATTGGCAGAGCCAAAAATCCTGGTTATCGATTTAAGTGCGTGTATTTAAAATGAAAATCACAGAATCAGATAAATTAGGCAAAAAAAAGTGTGTGATGAAAGGTGTGAAAGAGTTCTGTAAGAAACTAATCCAGAGCTGTCTTCTGGGCACTGCCCAAAGCCTAACAGTGCTGTGAAGAGGGCTGATAGAGTTGAGTGATGTAATCATGTATTCTTACTCCACCCTCACAAACTATAACCTCTCTGTCAAGCACTAATTATTCTGCACAGCATTCTTGGAAGCGAGGTTTTCAGTGTATGAAGCATCTTCACCAGGATATGGAAGAAGTAGGTTGGATCAAATGCTCCTTAATCGCCTTCCTGCTTTGGCGTCCGTGAGTGTACGTGTTTACACCTCAGGTTTTCCTGTAGGGATGACCTTTAATGTCAGTCAGTTTCATGAGTACAGGCTGGGGAGGGAAGAAGGCTGTTCCGACACCCAGGGGACTCGCCTCAGGTGACTCGGCGCCGAGAGCTCCTGCCAGATGCAGCAGAACCTGCCTAGGTCACTCCCTGCCATCACTGCGCGCCTAGAGCATCTCTGTAAAAGTACCGTGCTTGTGTGGGGACAAGGGGCATGGGAACCTTCTCTCCTTTCCACTCAATTTTGCGCTCAACCTAAATCTACATTAAAAACTAAAGTTTGCTGGGGTGCCTGGGTGGGCTCAGTTGGTTGAGCATTTTGCCTTCAGCTCGGGTCATGATCCCGGGGTCCTGGCATCGAGCCCCATATTGGGCTCCCTGCTCAGTGAGGAGTCTGCTTCTCCCTCTCCTTCTGCCACTCCCCCTGCTTGTGCATCTCCCTCTCTCTGTCAAATAAATAAATAGAATCTTAAAAAAAATAAAAAATAAAGTTTATTAATAAAAGAAACTAAATACCAAACAGTATGACAATTCTTCAAAAAAAGTAAACCTGGAATTACCATATGATCCAGCAATTCCACTTCTGGGTATGTACCTAAAAGAACTGAAAGCAGAGACTTGGACAGACGTTCCTACAGCATTATCCACAATAGCCAAAAGGTGAAAGCAACCCAAATGTCGATCAGCAGATGAATGGATAAGGACAATGTGGCATATACATACAATGTGGCATATACATACAATGGAATATTATTTGGCCCTAAAAAGATACGAAATTCTGACACATGCCACAACAGAGATGAACTTTGAAGAAACTAAATGTGATAAGCCAGATGCAAAGGGACAGATGTTGTATGATCCCACTTATATGAGATGTCTAGAGTTGTCAGGCTTATAGCCAGAAAATAGAATGATAGGTGCCAAGGTTTGGGAACAGAGGGGAATGGGGAGGTGGTGTTAAATGGGTAGTTTCACTTTGGAAAATGAAAAAGTTCTGGAGTTGGAGAGTAGCGATGGTTGTACAACAGTGTAAATGTACTTAATGCCACTGAATTGTACTCTTAAAAATGCTAAATGTTGGGGTGCCTAGGTGGCTCTGTCGTTAAGCATATGCCTTCGCCTCAGGTCATGATCCCAGGGTCCTGGGATCGAGCCCCATATCCGTCTCCCTGCTCGGCGGGAAGCCTGCTTCTCCCTCTCCCACTCCCCCTGCTGGTGTTCCCTCTCTCTATGTCTCTCTCTGTCAAATAAATAAATAAATAAAATCTTTAAAAAAAATGGTAAATGTTACATATATTTTACCCCAGTAAAAATAAATAATTAATTAATTAATGTTTTTTTTTTTTTTGAACTGACTACCAGAGCTCACTTTCCTTCCAAGAATGCAGTGCAGAACAACTCATCAGTGCTTGACAAGGTTGTTATAGTTTGTGAGGGTGGCATGAGAATTGATGGCTGTGTCCCTCAGACCTCCCTCAGCCCTGATTCTTTCCCCTCACCTTTTGGGCAAGGGCAAGGGATCTACGGAATGTGTACTTCAGTCTCAGGGATGGGTTTCCTCTCAGGGCAAGGACACGTTTGTCAGAAACTACCAGAGCAATTTGCCATAAACAGCTGTAATCGCTACCAAATGCCACTGACACATATAGGAAAGCTGTTTCATTGTGATGGAGGAGTGTGTACCTACCTGTGCTCCTGTAATGGGACTGCTCGGTTCATCTGAATTGTGTGTTCATGAATGAGTCCAAGTATACAGTGCCCCATAATGCACGGGGTTATGGCACTGTGTGCATCGCTGGGGCACATACCAGGTCTTCATCAGTGTGGTGGACGCTGAGGCACAAACCAGGGAATGTGGACTTGATTATAATATAGCCACCAACTGAAGCCTAGTAGAAAAAAGGGAAAGCTATGGAAGAAAATTAATAGCAAATAATTCGCCTGCAGCGGGGCCTCAGATTATTATAAGGCCTGTTTTACAGACTCCAAATGAAATATAATTTACCTCTCATCACCAAATCACTGTCACATTAGGTGTTAGTGTAGCTGTAAATCGCCAGACAGTTTAGTGAGTCCTGCAGTTCTGTGAGGAATATGCAGGATTGAATTTATTACTAGGTTAGTCTCTTCCGGCCCTACTTTGGGGAGATTTTGCTTTTTATTCTGTGTTTCTTGAAAGCTGGACTTGGAGAACGATCAGCAGATTCTCATGAGACCCAGTAGCCAGGCTTTCTTCCGACCTCCTGTACTACGTTCAGGGCCTGCTCTTGGGTCTGACCAGGGCTTGTAATTCCTGAAGAGCAGTGCATAAGGACTTATAGTTCCAAAAAGCTCAGAAACCTCTGTCCTAAATTATCCCACTCCCTCTTAGGAAGGAGGAAGGAATAATCAGAATAACCAAGATTATTTGTGTGTGTGTATGTATGTATTTGGTTTAAGGAAAAGGTATCACCAAGAAAGAGAGAAAATAAAGCCGTCAATGTTAAAGTACAATATGTATGAGTCAGTCCCATCATTCCTACCCAGACTTTTCAAACCTGCTTAGAAATAAACCCTCTAGGTGATAGAGACAGGGCCAAGTAAAGGTTTGAGCTGCTAAGATATCAGAAACTGGAATTAAAGGTTTTTATAGAAAAGAAAATCCAGGGCAGCGAGTCAAAGGGAGAGAAGAACAAGTGTTTATTCATCCTTGACATCCACATGTGGCTGCCTGCACCGTAAGCTTGAGTTGAAATGACATGGCTATAGAATCAAATCAAAATAGATTCAGCCCCATGAGTTCAGAGACCATGATTTTTAGATGGACACACTGACACAGGTTTCCCCCAGAGAAGACGAGCAAACCAAGTCTCCCAGGTGGAATGACATAAGGTAGAGAATACCAACAAAGATAGACCCTTGGGGCCTCCCCTTGTAGGCTCTCATGTTTCCTAGGAATCAAATTGCCTGGTTCCAGACACTGACTTCATGTTTAGTGATGGCTTAGCTACCTGGAACCCAACTAACCAGAACCCCGAATTAACTAACCTTCACATTTCCCCACCCCCACTTCACCCCCTCATGTACACCCCACCCTACCTACCGCACACATCCCACTTCCCTTTTTCAGAAATAGAGATTCAGAAAACAAGACAGCTTTGGTTTAGTAAAGATGGAGAATATACCCTGGAGGATATCTGTAGCTAATGACACTGACCTGCTGAATCATTGAGAATGGTTAAATGTTTTAAAATTAGGAAAA